AAAACATTGCTTTACTTATTGTTTGAATGCTACCTTTGTGCACTCACCACGCGTTGTGTACAGGAGTGTGCTCCTGTCCTCACCGAAGCATGCACGTTCTGCGCAATTGGCGATGTCACACAATGCTCCTTTGTTCCCTCCTGGGTGGACAAGACCGCCGCAGGCACCGAAGTGTTTGCTGATGATCTCTGAATTATAGATCTACAAGTCTTGTGAGTTAAAAACCTCTCTCAAAGCCGTCACCTAATCTCTGCACGATCTCTCGATGGGCCCTGTCCTCGCAAAAGGCATTTCGCTGCCGCATGGAGGTACATGCCATTTACCACCCACTCAGGTACATCCCCTGAAGTGGCACCATCCTTTTCCAAATTCAACAAAAATGACTCATCCACCAAGGACTCGTTCATCAGGTCATTGAAGGAAATTCCAAAGAAATTGGGCACAATCTTTTCCAAGTGCTTGCACCACTTGTCCGAGACTTCTTCGAGGAAGGTGAAATTCTTGACAACTTCAGCCCGCGGTAGGTCGTACCAGTTGTTCACAAAACAGTACAGGTCATCGCATGGGACAACGTGATCACGGACAACCAAAGTCCGACCGTCGAACAGCCGAAAGGTAAAAGGCGTTGATGTAGAACTGTTCAGGATCGGAGAGTAGAAGGGCTCAAACCTTTCTTGACCAAGTTCTTACAAACAAACACGACACCTGATCAGGTCAGCGGATACACAAAAGTTACCGCGGGGATCCGCGGGGTAACATGAGCCCACTTGCAAGTGAGAAACGCCAAAGCAAAGTTGTTGACATTGCGCGTTCGGCGGGCAACTGCGCAATCTCTCGCCCAACTCGCCTCCGAACCAAACACGCACCAGCCATCTTGGTCATATCGAGCTGACACATCCATAATTGGATCCGCCAAATCCTGGAAAGGAGGCTCGAAGGGAGCTCCGCTCAAGCAAGCTCGCACTTTTTGAGCGAAAAGAAAGGAAGGACCAACAACATAACTTAGTGAATATATATGACGCTTGCTTGACAATGATGTCTCCTAAAACCTTATCGCACAATGATGTGGAGCTGCCAAACCTCTAGCTTGCATCTTTCTGTTCATCCATACAAGTCAAGTGTCCAAAAGAATCTAGGGACCAAGTCATTAAGCCCCGGCCTTTCGGGCTAGCCTCCTAGCCTAAGAAGCTGGTTAAGCTTAGCAGCAACTTCTTAGCAGTTAGTGCTTAGGGTCTACCCCCTTGGCCCCCCCCAAAAAAACAACAACACATACTCCGACTTACAGGATGAGACTTAGCATGAACCGACCCGACATGATCGCATGAACATGCAAAGGGCACCTGGGATTCATACTAGGTGCACAAACGCCTGGTATGGGCCTGGGAGATACAGGTGACCTGAAGTAACAATACAAAAAGCAAACAAACAAACCTCTGGACACCAGGATAGGACCAAAACGACCCCATCTTCGTTGTCCAAGTTGAATTATATACAGTAATGAATTTCTATGTGCGATATTTGGATTGAGCCTTGAACTGTGCAACAGTGAAACTGGGCACACCAATCAATCCTTCATTGTGAGGTTGAACCGTGGCACACAAATGCCTTTCATAGTCTCGTTGTGGCCACCCTCGACCAAGTAATCAGTGAGACTCACATGAGTCTGCAGAAACTGGCAGCTGGGGGCCTCGCAGGCATGGCTGAAATGTACGCTGAACCCAGCTGGCAGTGTTGAAATGCCAGTCGTGCAAGGGAGACAGTTCTATAAACATAAGCACATGCAGTTTCAGGCAACATGCACAATACCCACGTTGGTGCAAGTGTATCATCAATCATTGTCAATCATACCTCAGTAAAAATGAGTAAACATAAAGTCACAAACAATTGCACGAAAAAGTGAAGGAGCTGGCAAGACTCTTGCATGACTAGCTTCTAGCACCTCATTGTGGATATGTCCACTCTTTGCACGCGTTGCGCCGACTAAGGCGCAAAACAACCAAACATGACGAGCCATTCCGCCATTGCTGCGGGTTTTCAGCTTGCGGATGTTCAGCTTGCCGCGGGGGTCGAGCCAATAAGTCGAAGGATGACTCGTTGGTCCACGTTTCTCTCAAATTATCCTGCAAGATCTTCCAACCTGAGGTTCAGCAGCAAAAAACATTCAGCTCTAAGTTACCGATTGCCGCTTCCAATAAACATCTGTAAGGTGAGCAGCAAGAACAATTGTGAACACATACCTCAATGAATCACAGTC